GTATCTGTGCCATTGGACCTCTTGCTCCATGGGAGAAACACAGCCTTTGATGCAGAGAGATTTCTTATTTTAGTATTTGAAGAAATAACAAAATTGTACAGATGAAGAGAATTTAAGTTTTTCATTAACTATGGAGCAGCTGGTCCCAGGGGCTCTTTAGGTGGTATCTTATTTTTAATACACTGACCTCTAGCCTAAGAGTTACAAACCCTCATAAGTTAATGATAGCTTACAGTTTTAGATTCAGAATTTTTTCTTCTGGGACCAAAATTGGAGTATCACACTTACGGGTTTGGGCGTGGCAAAATTTTCAGTGACTACTGCTTTGAATCACAGAATCACAGAATGGTAGGGGTTGGAAGGAGCCTCTGCAGATCATCTAGTCCAACCCCCCTGCCAAAGCAGGTTCACCTAGAGCAAGTTGCACAGGATGGCATCCAGGCAGCTCTCAATACACCTCAGCATCCACTCATCTATCCCATACCTTCTAAGTTTTGCTACAAGGATATTGTGGGATACGGTATCAAAAGCCTTGCTGAAGGTAGACAGCATCCACTGCTTTCCCCTTATCTACCCAGCTGGTGATGACATCATAGAAGGCTACCAGATTGGTCAAGCATGAGTTCCCCTTAGTGAAACCATTTGACTACTCCTGACAACCTGCTTTTCTTCCAATTGCTTAGAGTTGATATCAAGAATGAGCTGTTCCATCACCTTCTCAGGGATGGAAGTGAGGCTGACTGGCCTGTAGTTGCCCATATCCTCCTTCTTGCCCTTTTTGAAGACTGGAGTGGCATTGGCTATCCTCCAGTCTTCAGGCACCTCCCCCAGTGCCCAAGACCTTTTAAAGATGATAGAGAGCAGTTTAGCGATCATTTCCACCAGCTCCTTCAGCACTCCTGAGTGCATCCCATTGGGGCCCATGGATGTGTGTATATTGATTTTGTTTAGGCTATGTCTGATCAGTTCTTCCTCATCCAAGGGGCAACCTTCCTCTCTCCATGTACTCATGGCTCTTTCAGCTTCAGAGATTTTGCATAAATTAAAATTGTAGCTAACAGGGAAATACATTTTGGGTAATTGTGAGTTCTAAATTGCTCACAAGTTTGCTTAGAGGAGTATGATTTTTACTGTTAGTTTTAGATATGGTTAAGCTCAAAGCTGTTTACACAAACACAAATTTATTTTTTCCAAAAGAACAACTTCAGTGGTATTCATTTTCAAGAATTAAACTGCATTTATTATTTGTGTGAAGCTGAACATAAACTTTTGACCTCTTATGTATGGCCCTTGGGATTCATGGAACCTGTCATATAAGCTAAGCTGTTCTCTTCAAATGCAATGTTTGTATTGTGTCTCAAGACAGAATGAGACCTAACCTGCAGGAAGACATGATGAGCTGTGTAAATGCTTTGAGGAAAGCTTAATTAAAATTAAAGGCATTTTTTTTCTCCTGGGAAAAGCAGTAACCATACAGGTGAAGAAGTAAAAGGGATAACTGAGGAATATTAGAAGTTCCCTGAGACTGGATGTTCACTCATGCTCATGCATGCTTATGCATGCCTAGTCTCAAAAACTATGGGATAAATGATTTCTAGTCCATGTTCTCCAAGAGTCTACAGTTCTTTTCTGCCACAGGTCATTCACCATTTAGCCCCTGCTCTCTTTCCGTATCAGAAATGTTGCTTTTGTTTGCTTCTGATTCTGCACCCACTGAATGCTGCCTCATTCCCCCACAGTTCATTGGCAACATTAGTGGATCTTGGATGGACTTGCATCTTTGCAAGCAGTTTAGCTTCATGATATTATTCCCAGCAATCCTATGAAAAGACATGGTAGAGAACTTAACTGCTGGTTCAAACAAATGACCTGTTGCTGAGTGTTATTTAGGAGGAGTGATTATAAGGCATATTAAATTTAACTTTTGTAGCACGCTGAAAGGAAAAAGGCACAGGGGATATCAACAGAAAGTGCAAGAGACTACTGTGATTGCAGCCTGCAAAGGAAGTGACTCAGGATGCTCTGAAGGAGGTGAAGTGTGTAACTGAGAAAGGGTCCATGTGCAACTAGGCAGGTTTTTCAAGATTTAATCTGTGCTAAATGATCTTTCTCTGTAGCTATAATTTTCCATGTATATTTTTCCAGGCCTATTCCATAGTTCAGAAACATCACAGAGAATGTAAGATCTCCCACACAAGATTTTCTTGGACTTAAACTAATACTCATTCTAGTAATTCAAATGAATAGGTGGAATATATTTAAAATATATTTATTATTTTTTCAAACTGCTAGCGTTTCTTCCTTCATGGGTAACATCTTCAAGTGAGCCAAGGGAATTTTGAGGTACTTATATATAGCATGAGTTTTAGATGAAAGTGGAATATGTCATTGATTCCAGAAGTCAGTCCAAGACTTTGAGGTTTTGTGAATCTCTCAAACTATATTGTAGATTGCGGAGTCAGGCTGGAGTTTTCAAATTACTTTTCATCTGCTGTGTTAGTTGGCACAAAATTTACCAAGTGAAGTGATCAAAACATGCCAAAGAGACTTTGTCACATCTTAATGATAAAATTGCTACCTTACATTACTTAACCTGGATTTTTCAGTTTTCTACTTACAGAATTAGAGTGCTGGGTTCCTGTATAAGTCAGGTGAGCATTTAAAGATAGGGAATAAGTAGAAAAGATTTTCTGACATCAAAAGGAAAAAAGTAGTCATTAGACAAGGATAACCAGTAGGCCAAGTGCTGTTCCTGCTGTCTTGCAAGTTTTTCCCAGCAAGTACTTCAAGTGACCTTTTATCATGGAATTCTTATTAAAATAGCTATTCTTCAAATATATAAAAAAATCAGATATAAAAATTATTTGTATCTCATCACACTAGTAACTCTTCTTTTGATTAGCTAAACACCAAATGCTTAGACAACAAGAGCGATGTCTTTGTTTTACCTAATTGAAAATATGCAGTTCTTAAAACACCTGATTAATTCTATAGGCACTCAGATTTCTGCCTTTATTTATGTGCACAGCAGTCTGTATTTCAGCAAGGTGGAGCAGTTTGATAGATATGTTCCAGCTCAGCCCCCTTGGGATCCTTGCATGAGTCATCTCTGCTTTCCTTAGTCAATCCTAGTCAATCCCTTTCTTCTTGCTCAGAGTAGGTCCAGCATATCAATAAAGAAAAGAGCTTCTCAGAAAAAAAGCTTTGTGCTAACTGCTTTCTTTGAAATTAATAACTGGAAGAAGAGGATATAGTGGGGATATAGTCTCTTCCAGAGACTGCTGCTTACTCCTTCATGGAGTGGAAAAGTTGGGTTTATGTCAGCCTCATCAGCTAGAATCACAGGAACACTTGGGGTTCGAAGGGACCTCTGGAGGGTCATCTTGTCCAACTCCTGCTCAAGCAGGCTCACCTAGAGACATTTGACCACAATCATGTCCAGATGGGCCAGCTGTAATGGACACCCCACACCTGGGGAGCTGGATGTTCATGTCTGACTGCTCAATATGTCTGGATCGTGGCTGGCAGTCCATACTGGTCCCAGCACAGGCTCAGACCTCTACACAGTGTCAGATATCCCTCTTTTTAGGACTGTTATTTTCACTGTTGCTTTCTACTTTAGATGGTCAGCATAAGCTGCCAGTGGTTTCATTGGTCACATCACCCCAGGCCAATGTCTTTGACTCTCTGTGTCCAAAGCTAACTAGCTGTTGTTACCTGGTTTACTGCCACTCTAACTGTTTTATATGGATGTAAAATTGTTAAGAGTTTGTTTGAGCTGCTTTATTTCCTTTCTGTGCATACCTAAACCAGCAGAGGCAGGGCAGAAGTAGTCCAGAGTTCTCTGTGCTTGGTTTGTTTTCCCAGCAAATAAAAGAATCATCTAATGAGTTAGAGTTGTGCAGAGGTAATCTAGGTCTCAATTATCTGAGTGGTGCTTTCAGGCAGGCTTTGCTCCATGATAACTGAAAAACTCAGGTAGAAATTAAAGGGAAAACTCCTTTTTTCAGCTAGGTGTTGCTATGGTTGACCTTCCCTCAAGCCTATCAGATCTTAGTAGTGTCTTCCTTAATGTAAACAAGTGATTCTACTTTTTGTCTCTATCTTAAATTTCCTTGCAAAAAATTCTCAAAGAACTTTGGGAATTTCTCACAATTCCAGATGTGGACCTCTCCTAAAAACAGCTGACCTTTAGTTCAGTCTGGTTTATTTCTCTCAGGATATAATTCTCAATATATGGCTTTAAAACAGTTCTTTATTGTCCTCTCAAATAATTTGTGTTAGGAGTAAAAATACTTCGAAAGAGAAACCTCTTAACTTAAACTACTCTTCTCCATTACCAAATGTCAGTGGTCACGCTACATTACTTTGTTCATCTCCAGATTTTAGCACTTTGTCAAAACAAGGAAGTGCCACATGAGAAATACAAATTTGACAGGTTGCTATAGACAATATTGTGGCTTTTTTTTTTTCCTATTTTACCTATAGCAATCTGAGCATTTTTAAATGCTTTTGCAAATATTTTTGCAAATGTAGCTAAGGATTACTGAACTGACACTTAATAAAATTTTGTACCTTAAAGTCAATTGAAATTTGATGGACAAGGGCTTTTAATCTGAAGCAAAAGTAAATAGGAATGTTAATGAAACAGCTTTTTCTCTGTATGGTGTTAGGGGAGTACATGCCAGGCTTGCAAAATGAAGTCCAATTCCCCATCCAGAAGCACAGCTCAAGTCAAAAAGGATGTGATTAACAGCTGGATGAGAAATGCAGCTGTACTTGTTTCAGCTGTGAAGCCACAGTTGTCCCCAGGGCTGGGAAGTGGGTAACTGAGCTGTATGACACAAAGTCTCCCCCTTCGTTCAGTCCCATAGCACTAAGCACACAGAGGCATTTTCTACTCTACTTCATCATCTTCTGTATTAGCAGGTTTCCTATGTAATAAACTGTTCCAAATCCCTCTGAGGGGATTTTTTTCCTCCTTTTTTTCTATCCTTCAGGTGTTCACAGAGTAGCCACAAGTGCTTAGTTCCATTTGTTTGTCATTTGATTCTGGCAGGTGAGAAGCCAGGGACGGAGCAAGATGAAGTGAAGCTGCAGAATGCCAGCAAGCAGATTGTGCAGACTGCTATCCTCCGAGCAGTGCAGCAGGTTTCCCAGGAGAGCCAGCAAAAGGAGAAGCGAACAAACAGCAGTGCAAGCCTCCATCTAGAAAGAGGAAAATTAACCAAGAAGCATGAAAAGAAGTAAAGGAGTGGATTGGTTTTTTTTCAGTCCTCCAGTCTGCAGTGTTTTCAGCCTTCTCTTTAGTATCAGCTATATTGCTAGTGCAATGTTACTGTTATAAAGCAAACCAAAGTATAATCACACCTAGATTAAAAAAAAAAAGCTGCAATAGTCCTCAGCTGAGACATGTTAAGTGCATTAGATGACCAACTCCATATTTATGCGGTGCCTGTTAACAGAAACAATAATCATAGCTATAAAAGTAGTTTCAAGCACAAGTTCTTATGGTATGGACTTATTCTCAAAAGCTTGTTGTCAGTGCACTTTCATGTAAGTTCTGCGTGCAATGTTTATGTCAGTTCAGCTGGATGCGCTCTTCTCTGAGTTACTGGGTTCACTGAAGCTGTCTTCACCGAAGAAATAGTTTACTGTTGAGTGTAGCAGAATGCTTTCAGGTGGCCTTGAAGCATGAGTTTGTACTTTGCTTTGATTAAATGTGAACTATGTGAAATGGCAGTATAAAGTGGATTTGGTAAATTCTGTGAACCATTTTTTCATCTTGGAAGAAAAATTAAAAGGCAATCCAGTAAGACTGCAGTGACTATGATCTATGACTGTGATCATAGGCCTATGTTCTATGTCTTTTTTAAAAGAAGTTAAAAGAAGTACTGAAGTTTCAGTCTGCTTATTTGAAATACTTCTATACTTCTGCATAAAAATTCACTTGTGCCTCAAACTATTCCTTTTAATTTTCTTGATACTGAAAGAAGAGGAATTGATGTGTTGAAAGAAGAGGAACTGATATGGAGTTTGCCAGCTTTTCCATCAGTTTTGCAGGTTTGCTGAAGACTGATTTACAGCAAGTGAAGACTGGAGTGGCTTTTAAAAAAAGTGTTTAAACTTAGTATCTTGAAGGATGGAAATATACTGTGTCTGAATTCTGTCGTGGTAGATATTTCTCACCTGCTGGGCATAAAGTGACTTTCAATATTTGCAATTGTCACATAGATTCACCTTGAATAGCACTGCTTTAAGCTGGTAATACAGAACTTATCCTTTAACTGCTCTATATAGCTGAAGAAATCCATGATGTTTCTGAAAATACAAATTAAATAAATGTAGCTTTCATTTTATGCTCTCTTACTGTAATGATGATTGCACTATTGTACATCTGAAATGAATAATAGTATATTTAATTCTAGAAATTCCTTGTAGCTCTGCTTCAACTGAATTATTTTAGTAATACACCTGGAAATACAGAGAAGCAGATGCACAGGATCTGCAAAGAAGCAGACAAACTTTTGTAATTGCTTTTCTACTCGGTTAGATGATTCTTAAAGAGACTTCTTGGTTTAAGTAATTGGCTATCACTTACTGTGTCCTACTGCTTGTGTTAAACAATCTTGGGAATCTTTCTCATGGCCAGAGGCTTAGTCATGCATAGCCACATACTGTAATATTAAGCCTTTGAAATCTGCTTGGTTCCTTTTTTTTTTTTTAAAAAAAATAAAAAAAAAAAATTGAACAGCACTGACTCATACCAGATAATAATTTATCTCAACCTTGTTTTGCAGAAGAATGCAGAAGAAGGAAAAGAAGAATTCAACATGGTTAAAGTTGTTCTAAATCCTCTAATAATGAAAACTGACTTGGATTGCAAGTACATAGTTTGTTCACTTTTATAGATGCTGAGTGAATTTTTCCAGACAAGCAAAATTTGAAAGGTGGAAGTAGTTGGGTCTTGAGGCATGTGCATGTTTGTCATAATAGTAATTTTTTTACCATCAGTTTTTTCATCAGTTAACCTTTGGTTGGGAAGTAGTTCTTTTCTAAGCACTCTTTGCATCTTTGCTTTCTGAGAGCCTAAGGAAACTGATCATGAGTAAAGGTTCAATTGTGCAGCTGATGGGCAGGAAATCTAGTGGATGATGGAGACCAAGCCTGTTGGAGAGTCTGTGGTGCAAAACAGTGTTTGTGATGGACTCGCCTACAGTGCAGTAGGAAGGAGAGCCACAGGACAGCAAAATCCCCATTTATTTGGGATTATTCTACTTTTTAAAATGCTTTTTGTCCCCAGAGATTTGAGATATATCTTCTCTTTTTTTATGTTCCTGGTAAATATTTTAATAATCTTTACATAGTTTGGAAACTTGTTTGCATGCCCCCTTTTTTTAAATCATCATCAAAGAGGAATTTCAAAAGCCAGTGAATCCAGGCTTTTGCTACTGCTTCATGTGAGCCTGTTCCAGTCCTCTTCCCATTATGATTTCTACAGTATCCCCTTACTATCCTAGCCCTTTTAGACACACTCAACAATTAAATCATGCCTGCCATTTTCAGTGCTGTCAGAAGTCTAGTATCTAGGAAAGATAAAAATACTAGGAAGACCAACAGAACCTTGTGGAAGTTTTCTATGGACTCCTATCAAGGAAAAACAAATACTGTAGCTTAAATTGTGTAGTTTTCCCTGAGAGCCAAATATTGTGTCTCCTGTCTATAACATATATCCTTAAATTAAGGCATGCATTTAGTATCTCCTATTGACAAAGGGTGTTCTGCACACCACTTGCATCCAGGATATGTAGTGGAGATCTGTACCGCATGTGAGAGAACTGCACAAAAGAAAACTTTACCCTTGGCTTGTTACATGCTTACTACATGGTGAAAGCGGGTATTTTTGGTATCTTCACTGACAGATTATATTTTCTGGAGAAAATATAGAGTATAGAAATTATTACAGGTGTAATACAGATCTGATTGCAAATAAAGACACTCAATACCTTAACATGTCTCTGGTTTCTCTTGTTAAAAAGGAAGTAATTTTCAGATTTGCTACACAATCTTATGAAACAAGCAATGTACTCTTGAGGTTTGTAGTAATGAAGGCATTATTCAGGACAACAATTCACATCTTAAAAGTACAAGACAATCAAAATTGTGTCTGTGTATTTAAAACGTACTCACCACCTTTTATCACATATCAGTGGTAAGTAGAAGGATGCACAAACATGAAAGTGCGCTTATTCCAGCTCCTTTCATGAAGAAGAATTGGGTGTCTGTGGCTGTTCTGCACTGTGCTTGTAATGTTTTCATTCAGGTTGATTATTGCTATTTTATTACCATACTTGCACTGTTATTTGTGGTGTAATCAAGCAGCCACACCTAAATGGAAATTCACCTGGCCACAGCAAGATGTTGTAAGAGATTGCTGAATACCACTGTTCATAAAGTTGTTGGTTCTGTGCGGTTACATTGGAAATCCTTGCTCTAAAATAATTTTTTTTAAAAAAAAACAAACCCAAAAAACTGTGACTTGGAAACAGCCATCTTAATTTTAACATTTCAGAAAAATAAAAGTATTCTGTGATAATATTATAGTTGGAAATTTGTGAATATTTATGCACCTAAAAGTGTTACAGTCTCTACTCATGTTGTGTCAGATTTTTTTTTTTGGGGGGGGTGATTTTTTTAAAAGTATCTCAGACTGTGGTATGTCTGCAATGGTAAGTATATAAAAATAGCTATGTAAGTATTCTCAGTATGGCTACTGTAAAATATGCTGCAATTGTTCTTTAAATGTGTGCTAATGTCAAATAGAAGGGTTAATGTGTCATTTCTGATGGCTTTTCTAAAAATTTTAATCTAAATTAGGGGAAAAGATAAAAGGAAGTAGAACAAATTCTTGAAAGGATGTGGGATTCACTCCAAGTCTCTTGGTTACCCACTCAGGTCTGAGAAGAAATGAAATTAATGAAAACCTGGATATTGGCATAGCTTATTTTCTCACAACAGCTTTTTGCAACACAGGGATCAACTTGTTAAAAGAGCTTGTGGGAGTGAGAGGGAAAACCGAGCTGTTGATAGCGTCTTCCTCACCTGACGGTTGGTAAGGACTGAGCAGCAGTAAGGATGGAGCCTCGTTTCTAATGGGTGGGTTTTTTCATCATTGGCTTTTGGTGCTTCATGATAATAAGCTCTGGCAGAAGCTTTTTCCCTATTTTGGGTTTTCCAGAACAAAAGGATTCTCAGAGACCTAATAGGCTTTTAATTTGCACTGTATCCTGTCTTTCAAAGGGAGCAGAAGTGAGTTCTCTTTTCTCTACTTCCAGTGCTTCATTCACAAAACCTGATGGACATGCGTGGGCTTTTGTTTTTAAAGACCACTGTATCTTCATGGGATTTAGTCAACATGACCAACAATTTCTTTAATCCTTAAGACTGAATGGACAAGCATGCATACTAACTGTGTTTGAGTGCTCTGGGGAACACCAAGGAATAGATACATATGTTAAATGCATTTCCTTCTAAGCTGTTCTTGTTTGCCAGACAGATTTTCTTTGTTTAATTATCATAAGCAGCTTTTCTTTTTTAATAACTTCCTCCAGTGACTTGCTGCTTGAATTTTGTTATATGAACTTGCTAGTTTTAACACTAAAACAACAATAGTTCATGCTTAGTTTAGGTTTGATTAGAACCCCTGTGGAATTACACGTTCCATTGTGGTGTGGCTTTTGCCTTTTCTTTCACTAAAGATGAGTAGCAACAATAAATAACATTCTAAAGAAATGGAAGTGTGGAGGTTTTTTGTTGTAATGGTGTTTTGTGTTGGGTTTCTTTTCCCCTCTCAGTTGCCTGTAGCAGGAGGCCACACGAGGCAGATCATCATGAATCATTCACATGTGTTGTGACAGTAGCTGCGTGTAGAACTTATACAAAAAGAGAGAAAATGAACTCTTATGCAAACTGGAAACTGAACCTGCCTAAGCTGATTCTAAAACACTGAAGTAAGACACTCCTGGTAGCTTTACGGAAAATGTTCTATGTGTGCTTTCAGAATTGAAACCCATTTAGAAATAGGAGCTAGTGAAGATTGTAATTGCTTGCTTTGTGATATAAGGGGGAAGATGAACATTACTGCATTGTTCCCATGACTGAAATGCTACCTTATATGTCTACAGAAGACTTTCAATTGCATCCTTTGGCAGGAGGACACATTTGCTGCTGTCCTAGGGAGTGAAGAGCTG